ATATTAGGGGGCTCAATGATATGAGCAAAAGAAATACCATCAAGTCACTTATACAAAAATGGAGGCCGGACATTCTTTGCCTTCAGGAAACAAAGACTGAACTTTTTTCTGTGGCTATAGCTAGAGAATTATGGGGCTCTAGATGGGTAGAATGGGTGGAGTTGAAAGCCAGCGGTACTAGAGAGGAGGTATTGTTATTTTATGGGATAGAAGCCTTTGGAATTGCATTGATTCAAAGCAAGGGAAACATTCTATCTCGGCTATGCTAGAAGGAATTCAGCTAGACATTAGACTTTGTTTCACTGGAGTCTATGGGCCTCACTCTAGTTGGGAGAGGGTGGATTTATGGAACGAATTAGCTGCAGTAAAAGGGCTCTGGGATTCAAACTGGATTGTAGGGGGACTTTAATGTTTGTAGATTCGAGAGTGAAAGGTTCAATTGTATTAGAAGATCAAGGGCTATAAAAAGCTTCTCTGACTTTATTCAAGATATGGGCTTAGTTGATCTTCCATTGTAGGGAGCCTTTTACACGTGGTCGAGGGGGAAAACTCTTTACAGGCCTCCAGAATAGATAGGTTCTTGATATCCTCAGAATGGAATGATCTTTTTGGCTCTGTAAAGCAATTAGCCCTCCATATGGTTGTTTCTGATCACACACCAATTGTGTTAGAAAGTGGTAACTAGTCTACTGAACCCTCTTATTTCAAATTCAAAAATATGTGGTTACACCAAGAAAGGTTTACTGACATGGTAAAACAATGGTGGCAAGGCTATGTGATAAATGGTTCTCCTGATTTTATTCTTTCTCAAAAGCTGAAATTCTTGAAAAGAGACCTAGTCATATGGAACAGGGAAGTCTTTGGCAAAATCAGCACCAGAACAAATAAAGCATTGGAAGAACTTCTGATCCTAGAGCAAGCAACTGAAGGAAGGGTGCAGACTCAAACTGAAAAAAGTAAGATCCTGCAATTGAAAATGGAGATACAACAGTTAGCTAAATCAGAAGAAACATCATGGAGGCAAAAACCAAGATGTTTATGGTTGAAAGAGGGTGACAGAAATACTAAATACTTTCAGAGGATAGCTAACTCACATAGGAGATACAATTGCATTGATAGACTACATGTGGGGAGGATGTCATTGAAGATAAAGCGCAGGTGAAAAAGGTGATTCTTGATTTTTATCAAGAACTCTACTCAGAGAGTGAAAACTGGAGACCTGGTGCAACATTTGAAGGTCTTGGAAGCCTAAATGCAGAGGAAAAGGATAGTCTTGAACATATTTTTGAGGAAGAGGAAATGTGGAATGCTATCAATTCCTGTGCCCCAGACAAGAGCCCTGGACCCGATGGTTTTACAATGGCTTTTTTTCAAAAGTGTTGGGACACTATAAAACAGGATCTCATGGGAACCTTCAACCACTTTCACAACAATTGTCACATGGTTAAATCATTCAATGCCTCTTTTATTGCTCTTATTCCTAAAAGGAAAGGGGCAATTGAACTCAAAGATTTTAGGCCCATCAGTCTCATTGGTAGTATCTACAAAATAGTGGCAAAGGTCCTAACTGCTAGGCTAAAGAGGTGATTGGGAGCTGGTCTAGGGGTACCAAAATGCATTTATCAAAGGTAGGCAAATCGCTGATGCTGCCCTTATTTCTATGAAGTGCTAGGTTGGAGACAAAAAAGCAGTGAACCTGGTCTTCTATTCAAGCTGGATATTGAGAAGGCTTTTGACAAACTAAATTGGCAATATCTAATTTCAATCCTAAGACAAATGGGATTTGGAGAGAAATGGATCAAATGGATCAGATATAGCTTCACCACAGTGAAGTACTCTGTGCTCGTTAACAGAAGCCCTGTAGGCTTCTTCTCTCCTAAAAGAGGGATCAGGCAAGGAGACCCCCTATCTCCCTTTCTATTCATCTTAGCTATGGAGGGGCTTAGTAGAATGCTAGAAAAGGCCAAGCAGATGCAATGGTTAAAAGATTTTGATGTGGGTAGCAACTCGGGATTGACAGTTTCTATATTACACCTATTATTCGCATATGACGCTCTTATTTTTTGTGGGGCAGATAAATCTCGAGTTCAGTTCCTTAACCTCACTCTTATGTTTTTTGAAGCCATGTCAGGTCTCCACATTAACATGTCTCAAAGCATTATTTTCCTCGTTAATGTGGTTCCTGATCTGGAAGAGTTTGCAGATATTATTTATTGCAAAACTGGTTCCTTCCCTACCTCATATCTTGGTCTTCCTTTGGGTGCCAGTCAGAGATCAACTGAAATATGGAATGTAGTTGTTGAAAAATTTGAGAAAAGGTTGGCTTCTTGGCAGCATCAGTACCTATTTCTAGGTGGCAGATTAACATTAACTAATAGTGTTTTGGATAACATACCTACCTATTTCATGTCCCTCTTTCCAATGCCAGTCAAAGTGCAGAAACAGCTTGACAAGATTAGGAGATCTTTCCTATGGGAAGGTAATAGCTCCAGCCACAAATTCCACCTAGTCAAATGGGCCAAAATCACACTTCCTAAAACACTAGGAGATCTTGGGGCCAAAGATCTAGCACTTCACAACAAGAGCATGTTAATGAAATGGCACTGGAGGTATAACCAAGAAGATGTTGGCCCTAGGAAGGAGATAGTTTAAGAAAAGTATGGGGCTAATAGTCACTTGTGTACCAATGCTACCAGAACACCTTATGGTATTGGGTTATGGAAGAGTATCAGGAGACTATGGGATGACTTCTCTTGCAACACATATCTTCAGGTGGGAAATGGGGCACTCATTAAATTCTGGAAAGACATATGGCTAGGTCACACTACTCTAAAGGAGGCCTTTCCAAGACTATTCCTAGTTGCAACTAACCCAAATTCTACTATTGCTCAAAACAGAGAGGACAACACATGGAGACTGAACCAGAGAAAGACCTAAATGACTGGGAGATTAAGGACCTATTTGCACTTCTTGAAAGCCTCCGAAACAACTCTTTCAACACCCAGAGCAGAGACAAACTCAAGTGGGGCAATAGCAGGAAAGACACTTATTCAGTGAAAGCAAGTTATCTTCAGTTAAGCTCCAACAAAGACTTAATTGATCAATGGCCTTGGAAGCTTGTCTGGAGAGCAAAATTACCACCAAAAGTCACATGCTTCAGGTGGATCAATTTAAAGGGAGCATGCTTAACTCAGGATAATTTCATTAAGAGGAATTTTCAACTACCTAACAGATGTTACATGTGTCTTTGCAACCCAGAGACAATCACCTGTTTCTTCATTGCCCAGTTGCGACAAGTATATGGAACATGTTTTTGTCACTTTTTGGACTACACTGGACTATGCCATGCAATATCAGGGAGGCTTTCTTGAGTTGGAATGCCTGGAGAGTTGGGAAGTCCATCAAAAGTACATGGTCTATGATTCCTGCTTGTATTTTGTGGTGCATATGGACAGAAAGGAATCATAGATGTTTTGATGGCATTTCAACTGCCAATCGTGCACTCAAGGCCAAATGTTTAGTTAATCTTTTTAGTTGGATTAAATTTACACTTGTATATAACTCTGACTCTTATTTGGAATTTATCAGCGCCTTAGTCTTACAATAGAATTTTTTTATCATTTGGGCTGATATTTCCCCGTCTTTTGTAACCTATGCATCCCCTGGATGCTTCTTGTTAATGAAATACAACTTATTTCATCAAAAAAAAGTTCTTAGTCCAACCTTGAAATAATACATTAAAAGATAAAATTATGAAATTTTTTAAGAAATATTTATAAATTACATCACAATAAGTATATTTATATATTAAATATATCTAAAATTTCTATATATGTAATGTCGGGTTGGTTTGGTTTCGGTTTGACTTTCTTTAGTTAAAATCAAACCAAACCAATTATGACCGGGGTTTTTTTCCAACACCAAACCAAACCATAGTCGGGTTTTTTCTCTCGGTTTGACTCGGATTATCGGGTTGATGCGATTTGTCAGTTTCCTTTGTACACCCCTACTTTCAAGGGTCACATGTGGGAATTCTGTATTATTATCTGATTTCATCACCAAAAGCAATTTAGGATTTTCTCTATTCCCACTCCGGAGCCAAAGAGTTGCACAAGGAGAAAATCTTTTCAAAGAAAAGAAGTGCAAACACTCGAAAAATTCTGTCATATTGCTGTAGGAAATTAACAAGATAGATAACTTGAATATTTTTAACGGCATCGATGATTTGCTATTAGTGCAGATTATGGAAATGCAATACGCTCAAATGCATACCATGAAATCATGTAAATAACATTTAGAAAAGCTCCTATAGGGGCTTGGGGCCCGGAATGTAAACAAAATATAATATGTCTGATTGTAGCAGACTTAAGCTAGAGAACCGTAGCAACTCATACGAGTCAGAGAACAGTCTAAATTCTAAAAAGATATTCCACTCATCCAGCACCTTTCACTCTAAGAGACTACAACCCCTAATAGAGATAAAACTGGACAAATGAAAAACTCTAAACCTAACTCTATTTTGCTTAGAACAATAAAAAAGAATCACACAACTTTTTCTATAAGTAGGTCAGCTCAATTTTGCACTTTAGAAAAAAAATCCTCAATCTCACTTCTCGTACGCCAATGTAGAAAGTTAAATTAAGAGGTTTATTTGTCTTGGATTCTTGGGAAGAATCTATGAGAAATGTCAATTTCCTGCCGAAACAACATGGACTTATGAACCATGCTTATATACTCATCATGAATTGGCAAGTTTCACGCTGGTTGCCAGACTACAGTAACCCTCCTCGTCTATCCGAGCTTGGGACCCGCAATGTGAGCAAAATATACTGTCTTATTGTAGTGAGCTTAAGCTAGAGTCGGACAGTTAGTTTCATTTTCGATGTTGGATTGTTCGACTATACGGTAACCCATTCCATACCAAAGAGAAGGATGAAAGGACAATTTTTGCAAAGTATTAAAGAAAAAGCTCAACTGCTTCAAAGAGAGAAAATAAAATCTCATGAGCAACACAATAATAATAATTAAATATTACCAAATAAGTTCAAGCACAACAACAACCAGGCTTACTACAACAGATTCATGGGCACAAAAGAGATGATAAAATTTTATTGGGTTTGAGATTTAGGTTTACAAATAGGAAAAGGGGGCAACCGCAGCAGAGCTTCCTCTGTCTCAATCGGATCTGATCTCAGTATCTACAGAATACACATACAACAAAGCAAATATAAATGGTGCTATTCATTAATTAACGGAAATAATCAGAGAAAATACTGAATGCAATTGATAACTATTTCTGCGGGAGAGAACCGCTTACTGGATCTTGAAGAAGTGGCTTTGTGTCATCTTTAGCGGGTCTGAAAGGGGGTTTTGTTACCTTCTTCACTTCACTTTCGCCGTTCTTGTTACTCGTATGGATGCTTTTCGTTGACTCCTCGCCTGGCTTCATCCTGTTGAATCTTAGCCTCTGGCTCTCGCTATGTTTTCCCCCCTATCCCCTTGTTTTGGATTGTTGTTACGTGTCCTTCCTTAATATTCTACTATATTGTATTATAGTGTATTGTATATATATTATATTGTATTGACGATTATAAAGTTTGAATAGATTGTATAGTTTGGTGTTATTTCATGATGTCATGCGTTACTAATATGAAGATTAAACTTGTAACATAATAAATAAAAAATAAAATACAAAGTAAATATAACAAAGTAAGTAAAGCATAAAATATGATTATTTAATAATAAGGAAGGACAAGATGAGAGAAAAAAACAAGAAAATGACGCTACCACACCAAATCCGTCGTTCCATTTCATGGTTTCGTAACGATGAATTTAACGATATGATACAATAAAATTTATGTAACCATCCAAACAAGCTGTAAGTTTCCACTTTCCACTCTTCCAACTTCCCCCGAAAAAACTACTCTAGAGAAGTTTAAAAAACTGAAAAAAAATATATTGACCTTTGCTGAAAAACATATTTTTGCAAGAAAAGAAAAACTAAAATATTTTCAAATTCTTTTTCTAAATCTTTAACCAAACGTCACCTTATTTTGTGCTTTAGAATTGCTAATTTGGGGTCGATAATATGTTGAGCATTATGAAGTGCTCAAGCTAAAAAGTGGAAAAATATCTAAATTTGCCTTTGTACTTGGCTTTGAGAGAAGGATAAACTTTGTCATTCTCGTAACGAAGACAATGTTCGGTATCAAAAATAAAGCATTAAGGTTTATTAATGGTTTCTAAGTTTGATACATGATATATCAAATCGTGTATTTACATGATAATATATTTAAGAATCATCTGTGTAAGTGTGAAATGTAAGTCGTTTTAAGGTTAAGTCTATAAGGCCAATTCTCTACGCACTTACGAACCAGACGATGTTCATGGACGAAACGAACATAACAATGAGAACAAAAGATGGTTAAAGGGTTGATTGTGTGACTTATGGCTGTCTAGGTATGGACTAAAGTTGACGGTTCAAAGATATCAAATCTAGCGATTGACCGAGTATATTTGGCATAAGTTCACTACAAAAAGTTCAAAGGAAAACCTACTTATCCAGTTGCGATTAATCCTTGCTTGTAAATCATACAGTTTTTTTATGCATGGATATTTTCAGATAGTCATTCCCTATTCATGTGTGAGATTATTGGCATTTTTAAATCTAATTTAATAAAGAGGTGTAAATGAGAAATAAAGGGAAAAGATTTGGAGGGAAATAAAAAGTTTGAAGTGTTCCTTTTACTAAGTATTTATGGAAAGAAAATCATTGTGCTTATATGGAGAAGCACATCTTCTAGTTTTTAAAAGAGTTGAGAAGAAATGGTGTCTCGCACCATCGTCGCCGCTTGCTCAGTTCGTCTTCATTCGGATTCAATCAATTGATTGATAAATATTTTGGACCAAATTTATTTTCTGTTTTCCCGTTATTTGTTTCTTTTTTCTTAATATTTTAAAAGTCATATTTTGCACCATCGAAAATCTGCAAACTCTCCCCCTCTCTTCTGCATTTCTGTATTATTTTTCATAGCAAAACGTAAACATAAGTCCTGTTTACTGTCGTTTGTTGAGTTCGATGAAGTTCTGTAATTTTCATTGTCGGTATTACAGGATAATTGTTCCGTTTTATCATAGAAGGAATTGATCCAATAACCTTAGGCAACAGTAAGGGGAATAAATTTCTTAAGGAAACACAATTTTTTGTTGGGCTCTGTATACAGACGAAATCGGGTTCGTCCATTCTACGACCAGCCGAAGCTGAAACGTGACAGGTCAGAGCTCGAGCCCGAGTTATATCGAACCAAAGAGCGAAGTCAAGTCGTTAAGCTCGAGACTCTAGGACCGAACAAGATCGAGGGAACTTTGTTGCGCCAAATAATGGAAGGCCGAAATATCCGGGATCAGTTGGAGATCACGACAGAAATTTCGGCACATATCAAAGAAGAAGCCGATTAATTAGATAATCATGAGATTTTTTACCTCGTATAGAATTGTACCAAGAGTATAACACCCCTACTATATAAAGGGAGTTCTGATCATTTGTAAGACACACTGTAACACACACAAAGAAAGCAATATACTGATCATTTCTAGTTCTTATCATCTTGTTATTCAGTTCTAACCTTAGTTGAGACGATTCTTGGCTCGAGGGTGATCAAACTTAGAGGCTAAGGCTGTTCAATTCGTGTGGTTTGTATTTATTTTCTTATCATTAATTTCAATATTAATCTGTCTTCTTAATTTGTATCAAGTTGTATCACATCTCCTTAAAACCGCGTATAAATTCAATTGTTATCCAATTTTAAGGGTAAACAGAAACCTTTAATTCTTCTGTTTCTGTTTCTATGTTTTATTTAATTTTTCCAGAAATTATTTTTGAACACAGACTAATAACATTCATCACTTCCGAACTTCATACCACAAATTTTAACACAAAATGGAGCGGACGACGAATCGGAAAAGAAGATTTCTTTTTCTATTTTCTTTAGCCATGACGTACTTTAGCTGTGCTGTGTAGGAATTTTGGATGTTTTTGGGTTGCTGTGAAGCTGCGTTTCTATGGCAGTGTGGCCACTTTGCAAGTTTCTGTGCTAATCCAAATGATTAGAAAAGTAATGTATAATAACAAAAAGGTTAAAATTTGCCCTTATCGTTAAAGTTTGGTTTAAGCATAAAAAATGAACATAAGGTAAAATCAGACGAAAATAATTGAAATTAGAAGACTTTTATATAATATTCTCTAAAATATAAAAAATGAATATATAATTATCCACAACCATATGGGAATATTACATAAAAAATCTTCTAAGTTCAACTATTTTCAGCTGATTTTACCTTGTGTTCATTTTTATGACGAAGGACGATTTTAAGGGAGAAATTAAAAAATAGCCAGATTTATAACTGGTCGTTCAAAATAGCCATGTTTCAAAAGTAATCGAAATTTAGCCACTTTTCATGTAAAGATAAATCTGAGCGAAAACACTGTTCAAAACCCGAAAAATATGTCAGTATATTATACTGGAGTTCCAGCATAAGTATGTTTGAACTCTAGCATATTATACTGGAGTTCCACGATAAGTATGTTGGAACTCCAGCATAATATGATGGAGTTCCAGCATAAGTACACTAGAACTCCAGCATAATATACTGGAGTTCCAGCAAGTATAATTGTCTAGTATAATATACTGGAGTTTGGAGCACCGGTGCTCCAGTCTCCAGTATATTATACTGGAGTCAGCAAAGTATATCGGTCCAGCATAATATGCTGGAGTTCATACACAGGTGCACCGAACTCCAGTATAGTGTGCTGGATCAGCCTTTGTTGCAGCTAAACAATGGCTATTTTTTTAATGATTTGACAAACGCTGGCTATTTTTGAATGACCGGTCCGAAAATTGGCTAGCCCGTGCTATTTTTACCGATTTTAAGACCAATTTATAAATGAGGGTACATGAATGAGCCAAAATTTAACAAAGGATAAGGTTGGGGAGAAATTCAAAAATAGCAAGATTTATAGGTGGTCATTCAAAAATAGCCTCAATTTCAAAAATCATCGAAATTTAGCCACTTTTCATTTTAAAGATAAATCTGAACGAAAACACTGTTCAAAATCCGAAAAATACTCCAGCATAATATACTGGAATTCCAGTATAATATACTGGAGTTCCAGTATACTTTGCTGAAACTCCAGTATATTATACTGGAGTTTGGAGTTTCGGCATACTTTGCTCGAACTTTAAGTATAATATACTGGAGTTCCAGTATACTTTGCTGAAACTCCAGTATATTATACTGGAGTTTGGAGTTTCGGCATACTTTGCTCGAACTTTAAGTATAATATACTGGAGTTCGAGCAAAGTATACTGGAACTCCAATATATTATACTGGAGCCAGCAAAGTATACCGGTCCAGCATAATATGCTGGAAGTTTATACACAGGTGCACCGAACTCCAGTATATTATGCTGGATCAGTCTCTGTTGCAGCAAAACAGTGGCTATTTTTTTAATGATTTGACAAACGCTAACTATTTTTGAATGACCGGTCCGAATATTGGCTAGCCCGTGCTATTTTAACGATAAGGTTATACCATTTTGCAAAGTACAAAGGAAAATTGGAACATTTTTCCTAATTATAATATAGGAACATATACTTTTGGGAGAATTACACTCCTTATCACTTGGCTCAATAGCCCATCAAAAAATGACTCATGTTTGAAGCCCTTACCCAATGTGGCCTAGGTTGTATATAATGTGAAAATTACTTTTCACCCATTAGCCCACTGTTTTTAATTTTTTTTCTCTGTTCTTCTTCTCCCCGTGTCCCAACTTTGCATTCCAAACTTTCTCCATCATTATTATTCTCCATCAACGCTCCTCCAGATTCAAAGCCGATAATCACTATTTGGATGAAGAAGAAAAAATAATACATAAAACAATTAGTTTTTTTGGAGTCATATGAAGATCACTTCCTTCAATGGAGTGGAAAAATGATAGGTTTTCAATATCTTTGCCTTGTGTTTTGATAATCTAACAAACTTAAGAACCAGATAGGGAACCTGACTCATTTGGATTACACTACAACTAACGGATTCCAGCCAAATGTGAACTTGCTATAGCTTCAAGAGGTAGGAACCCAGACAAGGACCTAATACTCTTGTGGGTTCCTCACGGTAGTACAAAGTCAATTGGACACAGCTGGAAATGAAGATTCTGCTGCACTGCAGTGTTTCCAACGCCCACTCATTCTCTGATTCGATTAAAGTACAATGATTCAAGTTACTCAACTCAAGACAATCTGGGCAGTGTGCACAAGTACCGGATCAGGAACCTGATCCCTTGGTGCTCCCCTGACAGAAGTACAAGTCAACTATACAGCTGGATCGCAACTGCAGAAAGTGACTGTCCGCAACTGTACAAAGAGGAACACAACAAGGACCTGATCCCTTAGGGTTCTCTAACAGAAGTACAAGCTAACTATACAGCTAGAACATAACTAAGTGACTGTCCGCAACTGTAGAAAGAGGA